GAACATAAGGTAGTATAGGTACCTCTAAGATAATAAAAAATGAAAATTATAGATCTCATAAAGTTTATACTTGTGTGGAAATTATACACACTACACTATAGCCAGTTTGGTATTTCTTTTTGTATGACAAATATTTATATATTTTTTATTGACAATTATTTATAATATATACATTTTTTTCCATTTTTAAAAAGACAACTACCGCACTTTGGAATGTATCCATTGTCGCTGGTGGCTTTACATATATTCATGAAACGGACACAAAGAACACTCAGACTCAAAACATAAATTTCTTTTCTCTTGTCTTCTTCCCATGTGGGGATCGAACCCACAATAATAAGCGCTGTAAGAAGCGGCGAGGTGACCGTTTAAACTACTACGTCATCCGTGCAGGCAGAATTTATTACGTTGTAATAAGAGTGACACCTACCATCAAATCACTTTTTTCAATAAAGCTGGTAGGTACTGGTATTTACAGAGGCCATATCTTCTTCATCATCATCTCATTTATTGTTTTATACATATTAGAGAATACATTATGCTAACTAATACACTCACATAAAATATCACGATTTATAACTTACCAGAAAATTAAATTAATGAAGCAAGAAAGTAGAAAAAATTAAATTATTAATAAAAAAATTTGGAAGTGTACACGCCGTCGCTAAGTACGAGAAAACGAATCACCAAGCCAATCAGTGAACGACGACCCTATGATTTAATTACCACCCGCCCTAAGTACTTATATATTACTAGCGATCCGCTCCGGGTTCGCACCGTTGCAATGTAGATACTACTAATGTGGTGTCAGTGTGGAGTTATTTATTATTTATCTTTACTATTTACTATTTTACTTATTTACTATATTAGTTATTTATTATATGACAAGGCTTTACTACAGGACACCTTTATGCAGTATTTATAAGCCCGCTTCGGTCCTCCCGCCAGCTGCCACCCGGGACGGACGTATGAACCGACGGCCGCTTTGCCCCTGCATTTTTAATCTCTGATGATTTACTAATATATTCACTTTAAGGATATGCTGTAAAAGGGAATATACAATAAATGCACATCGTACCCAAGGTTTTTTTTGGCGATTTTTATCCTTTAATAATTAATATATACAATTCCATGGAACATTTTTTCGATCTATCTTGTAAGGTTTAGCCCAATGTAAGCGTCCAAAAACATGTTTTTTACGACTTCCCGCCTCTTGGATTACTCTGTCTATTGGTGAAAACCGCATTAAAATCCGTTGCGTAGTTGTGTGCGTTACCAGCCAGACATTTTCTTTTTTAATTGTAATATTGAAATAAATTTTAGCTAAATAATTAGTTATCTGGACTAGGTAAATGTTACAACTTATTTGGTATTTGTATTTTCTTCGGCTGCGAAGTTATTCGAGATCCTGCTGGAGTAACGTTTGTGGGTTTGCTGGATCTCTGAAACGGGTAAGTAGATTGTAACCATCTTTTGAACATAACTTCATAAGGATTCGTTTTAATTTGTATAACAATAAAATAACAAAAATAATGGACCGTTTAAAAATTATTTAAATAAGTATGAAAACTCTTCAATACGTCCTAACACTTTGAATAATACCTCTAAAGACTTACTTTAATCGTTATTCTATTGCTTGTAACTACTTTCAAATGTAAACGATTTTTCGTAAGTATACTGTAAGTGATTAAAAAGTTATGATGAAATGTAGCTCTCCACGTTCACGATCACAATGTGTGCGGCCTTTTTTGGCCACCGATAAACCTGTGTGTGGATATATAAACTGAATGTTATGCCAATAATTAGTTGTTTAGTTCAGTTGTCTACCTGTAAAATTTCAGCATCGTACATATAATAATTTACGAGATAATTAAATAAAAGTCATTAGAAGGTGCAAGACCGTGGTAACCCGATCATCTTTAGGTGGTTACAAAAAAGCGATCACCTAGTACATTGTGCTGGCTTTTAAAATATGTAGGATATTATTTGCAAGTTCAGTACGGATATGTACATAGTGTTACAAAAAAGTACATGCTTTCTAAATAATTTTTATTTAGGATTGTTTATTGCATAATTAGTAATTAGATTAGGTAGGTATTGTTTTTATGGAATTGTTTATAGTTGTTCATAAAATTGGTACCTGTGTAGTATTTGTTATATGAAGTTTAATTTTAGGGTAGGTATAGGTAATTTAAGTTTTGAAGAGTGTAACGTATGCGTTGTAAATAGGTATTTTGTGAATAGATTGGGATTTTTTAAGTGATGAATCGACTAAGGCTAGCATATCGCGATCTGTATTGCATTTTTTTTATAATAATGTTGGAGAAAATAAAATAGTAGACAATATTTGATCACAAAATCGCGGTGAATTAAATTATAATAAAATAAATTATTTATGTAAAATTAGTAATAAGTGATATACCTACCTACAAGCACGGTACTATTATAATATTATAATTGTACCGTGCTACAAGTTATGATCGTTTTTAATTTGTTCACCTCGAACGAAATTTCAATATTAGCATTAGTAATTAATATCCTAAGACAAGAATTGACAATTACTTAAATTGAATCCAATTAGCATTAATGCCCATTATTAGTAATTAGGTACACACATATTGAAGAACTCTCAAGATTACGATAAATATTTGCAAAAATAGAAAGCGGAAGCGCACACGCACTTTATAAGACGTATATTATCTGCCTAAGGGTCAAGTTTAGTGCACTAGATGCAAATTGCAAACAATGAAGCACCCCTTCGCCCTTCTCCTCCCGCGTTCTAGCTAACGATGTATTATCGGTGATTCTTGATTGACAAATATTATCTGACCAATAAATTTATCTATAAAAATGTATCACTTTCACTCGATAAATTAAATTACCGTTATTATATCAAAATATCATTTAACAACTGTTCGTTTTTAACAGAAATTAACAGTCACGGGCTCAACCCTTAGCGGTAGGTACATAGGTATAGATAATTCTCGGTTCTCGGTATAGACCACAAAACAATATTACTCTTACAAGGTATACGACTGTTGGGCGATGCAATATTGATGCATTCTATTTTATTTACAACTGTATTCTTCTACTGTTATGGTCTATTTTAACTTATTGTAGATGAGTTGTTGCTTTAAATATTTTGATGCATTCAAGTCTAAGCTCTATACACCTCAAAATGAAATACAATTACTTTAGTGTTATTTCTTTACAAAAAAAAGCAAAGAAATGAAACGATTTCTTTTTGGTTTTAAATTTTCGATTTATTGTAGTCTGGTGAATCGTTCATACATGTATCTACATATTTATAATTTTAGCGGGTCAGTGCAGATTTTCTGTTGATTGTAGCTCCGGTAGTTAAAAAGACTAAAGAAATTTTAAGTAAAGACACTAGTGCTTAAGATCAATTAGGAAAAAAATAAAAAAAATAATAGGTAATAATAATGAATATATATTATTTTGAATGTATTTAACATTGTACGCAACTGTACCGAAATCGTAAGGTGTATTACACTAAACATTTTAAAAGACAGCGCAATGTACTAGGTGATCGCTTTTTTGTAACCACCTAAACATGGTCGGATTACCACGGACTTGCACCTTCTAATGACTTTCATTTAATTATCTCGTAAATTATTATATGTACGACGCTGAAATTCTACAGGTAGAAAACTGAACTAAACAACTAATTATTGGCATAACATTCAGTTTATATATCCCCACACAGGTTTATCGGTGGCCAAAGAAGGCCGCACACATTGTGATCGTGAACGTGGAGAGCTACATTTCATCATAACTTTTTAGTCACTAACAGTATTCTTACGAAAATTCGTATACATTTGAAGGTAGTTACAAGCAATAGAATAACGATTAAAGTAAGTCTTTAGAGGTATTATTCAAAGTGTTAGGACGTATTGAAGAGTTTTCATACTTATTTAAATAATTTTTAAACGGTCCATTATTTTTGTTATTTTATTGTTAAACAAATTAAAACGAATCCTTAAGAAGTTATGTACAAAAGATGGTTACAATCCGCTCACCCGTTTCAGAGATCCAGCAAACCCACAAACGTTACTCCAGCAGGATCTTGAATAACTTCGCAGCCGAAGAAAATACAAATACCAAATAAGTTGTAACATTTACCTAGTCCAGATAACTAATTATTTAGCTAAAATATTACAATTTAAAAAAAAAATGTCTGGCTGCGGTAACGTTTCAAACGTTACCCCAGCAGGAAATGTTTTTTGATATATATAGATAGATAAATAGATTAAGTAACAAATATACTGTAATCATCGACGGGCCTGCTAGTATAGTGGTTAGTGACTTGAACTGCTAACTAACGGTCGTGGGATTCCCACCCAGGATAAAAAGCGTGAAGAGCACGATCATTTTCTTCTATCTGGGTGCAATTTATTTTTAATATAGTATGTATTTAGGGCCAAGTGCGAGTTTATTTCACTTCTACTCGATCGTTACGGTGACCGCGTTCGGCGTTGCGATTGGCCCACACTGAAATCATCACCAATCGCAAAACGCGCTCTATGTCGAGGGCGAGTTGATGTGAAATAAACTCACACTTAGGCCTCAGTTAGTAAGTAAGTAGGCATGATCAACATTCAGATGCGTATATCCGCATTTCTTTTATTTCAGTATGATTCGTGTTCTAGAACCTAGCTAGTTTAGTTTTGGCCTAAACCGCTATGTGTAAAGTGATGGTATTACTTTTAAATTTAATTCTTTATAACTCTGCTCCACCACCAAGGGCATGACACAAACATACACATGTTGTCCCCGCCATCAGGTTTGCTAAGACGCCTTCGCAACCATTAGTCACTTAGGAACTCCTTTACTTTGAGTAGAGCTAATGTTTTCTATTTGCCACCATTACCAGTGCCAGTTATTTTCAGAGGTAAATATTTCACACATATTTAATTAGCTAGTTGAATTAGAAATACAATAATTTGAACTGTATTTTAAAATATGTCTTTTATTTATAATTAAATACATAAGTATTTATATGTTCTATTAAATGCATTTATCTTATCACTATAACTTGTTTGTGTTCCTTCTTTTGTTACAGATTGTGTAGCAACATAGCAAGCAGCACCAATAATTTGATGCATTGGTTGATCTTTGTGTGTCACTAAGTATGTGGCCAAAGCTCCAACAAATGCATCGCCGGCCCCCTGTAAAGATGTTGTTTAATAAAATTGGAAAATAATTATATACCTAGAAAAGTTGTATAATTTGTTTTGAGTACTAGGTACACTTACTGTAGTATCTACAGCAATAACTTCATCACACAAAACATGTATTGGTTGCTGATCTTGTTTAGACAGATAAACTGCTCCCTCAGGTCCCAAAGTGATAATCACAGTTTCACATCCAGTTTCAAGCAACTTTTTTAAAGCATAAACAGCATTTCTGAAAAGCAAAGTTAATTATTTGAAGTTCAACAAAAATTGCATATTAAGATACTGTTGTACTCACGTAACATCAACTTGAATATTAGTGAGTAATGTAGCCTCGGGTTCATTCACACAAAGTATTGTACAGTATTTTAATATTTCATCAATTCCGACTCTTGCTGGGGCAGCATTCAGTAATTTTATCTGTATAACAAAACTACAAATATATTATTTGTTATATGTAGACTATGAAAAAATATTTAAAACAACATCACAACTTACACCAGTGCTCAATTTAAAAGCTTCCAATGTAGTCTCAAATGGTGTCTCTAATTGGCTGACAATAACCTCTGCATTTTTAATAAGATCTGCTGAATTTTCAACATCTTCTGTTATAAGATAATTATTAGCACCTGGGACTATCACAATCTGATTTTCACCACTTTCAGCTACTGATATCTGAGCAATACCCGTTGTAATATTGGGTGTAATATTAGCATATTTAACATCTATGCCATGGTTTACTAAGTTTTCTTTGTACTTTAGACCCCATTGGTCATCGCCCAGCTGTAAAAAGAAATTGTTTTTTTAAAGTATATATAACATTAACAAGTGATTTTCACTGAAAATGTTTATGACATAAATTTAAAAAGCTTTGTTTCAGTAAGTTGTAGAAGTACATACTCTACAAATCATGGAGGTTTCTCCACCCAACTTCGCAGCAGCAACACACTGGTTTGCACCTTTCCCACCATAACTGGTTGTAAATTTAGTTCCAATAAGTGTTTCTCCAGGTAATGGTAATCTTGGTGCATATCTAAAACAATTGAGAAATATCAAAAATACATTTAATTCTTTCTTACATTAAAGTAATTACTATTATCCATATTCTATTAGCAATGTCTTATAGCTTAAGAACTATTAGGTAGGTAGATATATAATTATGTATTAAGCTGGTACTCTAATTAATACATTTTATCACAAAAGTGATGTGGAATAAAGAAATAATGTACGTACGTGGTGAAGTCTATACTGCATGATCCAATAACAACAATTTTTGACATAGTTGATGTTTCTTTTGATTAGAGTAAAAAATAGTAAATGGAAATAAAGACGAGATTGTGCATAACCTAGAACGTCACCTCGTAACGATCTTTATTAAGTATGATACTTACGTGATCACACAGTAGGAACTCTATTAATTTAATCCTTGATAAGACCTTTGTTAATGAAGGAACTGCTGTCACGTAATACGACTCGTGGCCGTCGCGCTATAAAATTTTATAAACAAAGGTATTGAGAATGTTTTTGTTTAATTTATTTATACTCAATAATATAATATATTTTTGTTTAAGATTTTTACATACTTGCATAGTATGTATATATAAATAGGCACATGTTTATTAGATAAATAATATATAGAATAATGTAGAACTAATTCAATCAAATCAGTTTAATAATCACAATATACTCTGTTCTGTATCTGTGTTAATAACCGATGAAAAAGGCATGGCAGTAATAATAACAATGGTACCTACTTTTTATTTTATAAAAACATATTTTTTTAGTTGGTATTTTTTTTAATAGGTACGCGCCGCGCTGTCCCGACCGGTGTAGAAAGTGTTAACAGTTAAGTCACAATCCTATAAAATCTATAAATGCCGGCCGGTTAGCCGGCTCGGCCCAGCCCAAAAGCCCAGCTATTATATATTAATTGATCTATGTTCATTACATTCTTTGTTTCATCGTATATAATTTCACCTCATCCTTATAAACCACTTGAATTCGTTTGAGTTTAAGTTTGGAACCTTGGACCTGTAAAAAAATAACTAATACACATACCCAATCCATTAGAATAATATAAAGCATCTCTACTGCTACTGTTCTGCTGTCATGAGTGTCATGTCATGTATGGACATGTCAATTGTCAAACTTAATAATAACCTATATAAATAGTTTGGTTATTTTATTTGTAAAAATTAAAATATCGTAAAAAATCTTCATTAAAACAAGAATATTTCATTTGCGAAATTATGAATCAAGCTGAAGTTTCGAAGTTAGTTTCAAAACTTCGCATACAGGTACCACCAAGACATCGCAATCTACAGAATCCTAAAGGTCCTGAAGGTAGACTTGATAAATTACGTAAAACTGTAACTGGACTGATAAAATATGAAAGAATCGAGCTCAATGCTAATCGAGCAGATGAGGCTAGGCAGTATGCCGAAAGGGTAAGAACTGAGAATAACATAACATTCCATATTATTTTATTAATTATATTTTTAAACCAATACACTCCTATATCCCGAGCTAATTTTGTGTTTCAGTTAATATCGGAAGCAATACGGCATGGGGACTGTCACAAACCAACAATGGAAACAGCTGACTTCTGGCTTCTTGAAAAGCAACTTGTTCACAAACTTTTTAAAGTTTTAGTGCCACGATATGAAAATAGTAATCTATCATATACAAAAATGTACAAAGCACCCAAGCCACAATATGCTCGAGTTTTAGATAAGGCTGTGTTAGAGCTAAGAGGAAACCCATATCCAAACCTTACAAATAAATTAACTAATAACAAATATTTAATTCAGAATGTTTTACTTGATGCAGCAAAACATGATTATCGACAATCTAAATATGCTGATATGGCCAAAGAAATTGGCAAGGATTCAAAAAGTAGCCAGGACCAGAATAATAAAGATGAACAAGTTACTGAAAAACGTAGTGACAGCTGAATCTTAGTTGTTAATTATAATTAATTGTAACATGTAAGAAAGTAGAAATACACACTATAGGTTACACCATGTTTATAATCTTAAATTGTGTTTATTAACCTGCCTATATTAAATATTCCAAATCTGCATTAATGTTATTGTCATTCATTATTTAGAATTATCTATATATTATCTTAGTATGCTTTCAGCCAGATTTTCCATTATGTGAAGACCTCGGTGTGGTTTCATTGTGTGTACACCCTAAAATTAAAGTAGGACTAAAAACAATTACTTGTTTGTAAAGAAAATGTAACAATAATCACTTCATTTTAAAAAAAAATTTAGTATTCCAATAGTACGAGGGCGGGTCAATAAGTCCGTGACTTTTTGAATTTCTGACCTCTTTACTGAAAAAGCAACACTACTCCTGTCAACAGGCATCTGTCAGTTGAATCCTGTCAAAATTTGAACTTGCTGCGTCAGTTAGTTTGTGTTTGACACATATCTTTATCAGACTACCCAGTAATTTGAGGAAAAAATGGAAAAAAGTGAATTTCGTGTGCTTTTATTATTATTTTTTGAAAAAAAAAAAACCATTACCGAGACCAAGGCTAAGCTTGATAAATACTATGGGGACTCTGCACCATCGATTTCAATGGTAAAAAACTGGTTTACTGAATTTCGTTGTGGCCGTACAAGCACTGAAGATGCCGAACGTCCTGGACGCCCAGTTGAGGTCTCTTCACCCGAAACAATCGAGAAAATCGTAGGGATCTCGCATGGCTCAGTGGTTTCAATTTTGAATGATCACTTGGGCATGAGAAAGCTTTCCGCAAGATGGGTGCCGCGATTGCTCACAGTCGACCACAAACGCAATCGTGTAACAACTTCACAGGAAGGTTTGGCGTTGTTTAATCGCAATATGGAGGAGTTTTTGCGCCGTTTTGTAACCGTGGACGAAACATGGATCCATCACAACACACCAGAGACCAAACAACAGTCAAAACAGTGGGTTTCTAAGGGTGAATCGGTGCCAAAGAAGGCCAAGGTGGGTTTGTCAGTCAATAAAGTTATAGCGACTGTCTTTTGGGATGCACGCGGGATAATCCACATTGACTACCTTCAAAAGGGAAGAACAATCAATGGGGAATATTATGCCAACTTATTGGACCGATTCAATGACGATTTGAAAAAAAAACCGACCTCATTTGGCCAAGAAAAAAGTTCTTTTCCACCAAGACAATGCAAGGGTGCACACATGTGCAGTTGCCATGGCAAAAATCCATGAATGCCCGCTATGAATTGCTCCCTCATCCGCCCTATTCTCCAGATTTGGCTCCGAGTGACTACTTCTTGTCCCAAACCTGAAGAAATGGCTTGGTGGAAAAAGATTTGACTCCAATGATGAAGTCATCTCGCAAACAAAGGCCTATTTTGAGGACCTCGACAAATCATATTTTTTGGCAGGGATAAAAAAATTGGAGAAGCGTTGGACAAAGTGTATAGAGCTCAAGGGAGACTACGTTGAAAAATAAAATGATTTATTTATCAAAAAATCTGTGTTTTATTCCAAAAGTCACAGACTTATTGACCCGGCCTCGTACCTACATGCCATTTAATTTTTTAGAAAACAGGAATTAGAATTTCATTTTTTTAAAACCTTTTACTTAGTAAATAAATTAAATCACCTTAGTCCTAGTTATAACTGGATAAACAATACTTAATCCCTACATTTCTCATGAAGGGTTCTCTACCAGCAGTGTAAATGAATTTTGTGCTGAATATTGATGTATACCTATATTTTCCTTTCGAACATCTCGTTTAGGCGTCGCCGTCGCTCGCATAGACTTTTTTGCATGAAATGAATTCTGTTGATCGTTATTATAAAATATGGAATGGGGTTATTAGGTACTGTAAAATATATATAGGTATAATTATGTGTATATCGTTTGTCTTATAAAAAGGCAATTGTGTGTTTTAGTGATCATGGACGTATAAAAAAGGCGGACGGAACCATAGATAATACACTAATATAAGTTAGACGGAACCCCGCTAACACAAAAGTGAGGCTCCGTAATGGCTGAAGCTCTTTATGTTTGAGTGAATTTTGGGGTTGCTAAGTTACGCAAATTTTTGCACTAAAAATATATTTTTAAATGTTGACATTTAAAAATAAATTATTTGTTCGAAATTATAATGTTTAACATCCCAAATGCTGAGTAATTTTTTTATAATAATGTCTTTTACTTTTAGATTTTTTTGAAATTTCCTCTAATTTCGAGATGTGGTGCAACCAAACCGTTAAATATTTTGCCGCTATATATTTAATAAGACTTATTTTGTGTTTCATTCCGGCGAAAGTATGTTCGGATTCGAAGTTTAAGAAAAATGCTTTCATTACACACAATTTTTTCTTGATTTATGTTTCTTATTTATATATTTATGTTGCCTTTCGTTGTATAATGTGATGCTTTCTTTTATAATTTTTCGTATAACCATTTCGCAAATGCAACAAATATCGAACATATCTTTCGATGGTAAATGTAAGCTCCTCTGGTTTTTAAAGATATTAACTTATGAAAATATAATTTTTCTTCAGTATACATCCGTGCAGTGCAACTTCCTCACTTTTTATGTTTGTTTGCATAATGGCAAATGCCACCTGCTAGATAACTGATTATCAATTTTCTCTAATCGTACATACTTCATTTTCCTTAGAAAATTTAGTGAAAGGAAAATAAAATAAAATACCCAGTAGTAACTATTACAAAATTAACCTTAATATATTGATTTTAATAATAAACTAAAAATGCCCCATATTGTAGGGTAATTTGCACACTAGAATAGTGGCAACACTGGACTTAAAATATATAAAATATAAAATCTGGAAATAAGTGATTGATTTATTCATTTACCTTTGAAATGTGATTCCTGGATATTTTTTCTTTCGGTCACTACGGTTTTTACACCATTTTATGTTTAGAAGTAATTTTTCTATGTTTAGTTGTACTGATTTTTCTAAGAAAGTTTATTTCCTTATCTTACATGGGTATATATAAACCAAACTCAACATAACCGTATGCTTGGTCGTTAATCTATCTGCAGATTATCAAGTTAATGTAAGAAGAACCAGATAATCCGCACATTAATAAGTTAATCTGCACACTAACACACTAGTAGTAACATATGTATACACACAATACTATGGGGCAAAATGGTCTAAGAAATAGTAAAATATGTATTTTTTTACATGTGTGTACATGTAATTACAAACAATAATATTAAGTAGGTACTACATTTCTGTGTGTACAAGAATATGACAGCTATCCTTGCGATTTCAGAGGTAGTTTAAGTTCATTTGCCTGCCCTTTTTCTTATTTGATTTGGGGTATCAAATATCAAAAGATTTTCTTTTGATATTTGATACCCCAGAGAGTAGAAGCGGCCTAGAAAGATACTGGGACTGTACATAGGGCACCAGTAGTATGCCTATGAAAAAGGAAAAGAAAATATTAGGAAGAATGGAAGAAAATGGATATTCCTGATAAGGATAGCCTGAAGAGGCAATGGTTTGAAAACGTCAGAGTAGAGTCTGTAAAGTCATGTTTAAAAAGTTAGACTATTTCCGGAAATTTGGAGCTCTACCTTTGCATAAACTAAAACTTGTGGTAGAATCCATCTAAAATATGGTCACATTGTATTTGACAACTTTGACAAACAAACATAGCAACTGTTTACAGCTTGGTCAAAATATTTTCTGTGCCAAAGTGTATTTTATAGGGTCTTAACTTTTATTACTTATTAATTTAGGTAAATACTAGTATAGTTGAATAAATAATAGGATTCTTAAACCATGACACACAATTATACCAATACCAATCTTGAAGATGTCGGGGTATTCGAACTACTCAGTGAGTTATGTACCAGGACTGCAAGTAAATACAGCAATCAAAACCGAATATCACAAAGACGCCTTTCGGCCAAAATGCGTTCAAATGCTTACGAGATTATATTAAAAAAAACATCTTCTGCCTACAGTATAAGTAAAGGAGAGCCAATTATCGATTTGTTATCATATTATCTTGTTTATCAACAAAATGTTAGAAATATCGCTGAATACAAAAGATGTGTAGAGCTAAAGAAAATTATTAGTACTCTTCGTCAAACCGATTTCGGTAATAATAAAGAAAATATACATAATGTCATTCGGTTCCTGATTGGACTAAAGAATACCATCAAAGAAGATCTGTCACCAGAAATGTTTCAGGTATTTTACTGTTGCTAAGGAATATTATATTGATCTAATATGTAACAGTAATAAGTGTTACTTTGAAACACTTACAGTAATATCGCTTTAATTGTTTCCAAACATTATTAACTTGCAATGTAACTTTAAATAGTACTTCTAGTTTTTATATTAGAAAAATTCTTAATTAAAATTATAAAATCTGTTTTTTAAGTTAATTCCTTGCAGGGTCCAATTTCTTCTTACAAATATTATATTTTTTCAGAATCCCTTTACATTTGGCCTATTTGATGAGATGTTACCGAAACCAAAAAGAGAGCCTTTTGGCTCCCCACAGCCCTACTCTTATTATCCTTCTCATGTATTTGAGCTACCTTTCTCCTTGAAGCATCAAGAAATAGCATTGGAGTATCAGAAATCTCAATCTAATTTTGAGTACACTGTAGACAGTTTTGATTCAAGATCTTGTGAGTAACATAATTAAGTATTTACCTATAACTATAAACAGCCTGTGTAAGATTCACTCTGGAATATAAAACATGATATAAGAGAATGAGTTGATACAAAAAACTTACAAGATAATTTGCTTCTCTATAGTTTTTGGGCTATTCATTAGGGTCCAATCTCACAGAAAATTAACGAGAAGTACTTTAAATTGTAATGACTTAAATTTTCCCAATATTTCAAGTGAGTAAGTTGCAATTTGTAGTCTTAAACAAAAAGAAAATTATAGATTAATATGGCACCACATAGTTAAAGATTGAAAAATATAAATTCTATAATAATGACAGATAAAGGAGGCCAAAACCTCCTTCCTAAGGAGAGGCCTATGTCCAGCAATGGATTAGTAAAGGCTGTTGATGATGATGATGATAGGGAGGAGAATGTGTCTTTACTTTGGGTATTTTTGAATGTCAACCTCTATAATTAATAATATCTTTTTCTAAACAGATCTTTCAACAACTTCCCAAAGGCAAGAAGAAACCAGATTGAAGACCTTTCTTAGTCCCATGTCGCTACCCTCTATGACATCAACACATGTGTCGCCATATTCACAAGGCAGTATGTACGATTATCCAAGATTAACAGCACCTAGGGACCTACAGATTCCTACTTCATTGTCAGCTGATGTTTATGTTAAGGTATTAAGTACATTCTAAATTAACTTTAGTAAGTCTATACTCCGTGTAATCTAATCTGCGTGGTGATGGATTAAGATTGTATAGTAGGCCAAAACCTACTTTCTAGGAGTATATCCAGCAATAGGCTATTAAAGGCTGTTGATGATGAAGTCTATACTAAAATGATTAGGCTTAGGAGTTTTATTATATTTTTAACTGTGCTAACACTAGGAACTAGGTAGGTGTTCTTTGAGGAAAGTTATAGTTAAGTAACATCAAGGTGCAAAGTTTAGGCACGCTTCTAAGGGTGACTGCTTCACACTAGTCATAATAAACATAAGTATGTTTGCTTATGTTTATTATGACTAGTGTGAAAGCTGGGGTGATGGCAAAGTTATTACATAATTTATCTTCATTTTTTGCCCCATAAATATCCATAATAATATTATAAATGCGAAAGTGTGTCTGTCAGTCTGTTACCTCTTCACGCTTAAACCAATGAACAAATTTAGATGAATTTTGGTATAGTGATAGTTTGAGTTCAGGGAACGGACATAGGATAGTTTTTATCACAGAAATCAACCTTTAAGGAGGTGAAAAGGGGGGTGTGAGTTTGTATGGGCAATCAATAACCAATTCAAATACATATATATAACCGACATACACATTGGTTCCCGCCGCTGGGCAAAAGCTAGTAGTATCTAAAGATGTTAAGTTGGTTTTTTCAGTTTAAAAAACTCAAAAAGTTCTGCACTTACAGCCAGTTAGATTATAAAACCTGATTTGGATTTGCAGATATCAATGCCTCTTACAAACGTAAAATCTGTGATTAAAGAAGAATTTTCGACTAATGACAATAAATCAATGGATATTTGGGAACTAGCTACTCAAATTGATAAAGACATACCAGAAGATATATGGGAAATTGTTTGTAAGTATTTTATTAGTTTGGCTGTTTTAGTAGTTGTAAGTTTGATACCTTAGACTAAAAGTATATATAAAATCATGTAATGAAGGGTTTGCAGGTTCAAATATTATTGTACTATCAATTTAAATGTAATTTAATATGTAAGTTAAATCTGTGTATTTACAAGTTTGCCGAGACAGATGACCACTGCTATAGAAATTTTATTAAACAACTTCTTTTTGTAAATTTAACAAAACGGTCATATTTTTCTTATAAATATGTATTTCAATCATTTGACCTCGTGTTCATAGCCATCAGGGCTTTAAGTTACATACTCGAGAGTTTACAATGCTATATTCTCATTTACACTGATATCCTAGTTCCCTTCAAAATCGTATCATGATAACTACCATGTCAACCAGTCATAGATGCTGGTTGATTTATTATGGGGTGAGACTTTGATTTTAAATATCTTCCTTCCTTCGTAAGCCATTAATGTTGCAAAGCTATATTACTTTCTACAATTTCAGGTAAATTACCACCAATCGAAGAAAGACAATTGATAGCTTCTTCCTCGAGAGAAGTGTGTTTGTGGCGAGAAACGTACAGTGACAAGCTTAATGAACTCCAAATTATTTCTGAGAAACAGTTTATTAGACATATCATGTATTTAACAAGTAAGTAATACAGGACAGGATTCTGTAAGAAGCTCCTTTTCCAATATGTACTGTCGGTTAAAATTATCCAGGATACTGGGTTGCATTATTAGTGTAACTATACAAATGATTTAGATAAACCGGAGTTTTGGTTGTATATCTGTTTGATACACATGGTTCTCAAATGTTTATGGTTTAAATGATTATCTTACTACCATTGGTTCGATTTTATTAAAAAAGAACCGGCCAATTGCCTAATATGTTGGGTCATTTGCTGTGTGTAATACCGTGTAATATTAAAAAATTAAAAAAATATATATATTTGAATGTAATTGTGAAATGTTAATTTACCTGTGTTCTAAACAAACGAATAAACTAACTGGTGGCACCGCAAATCCTAACAAAACTAATAATCTCGGGCGCCAGGTGCCTTAACCTTAAATGAACACAGACAACTAACCACAAATACAATGAATGCCTCGAACAGCTCGGTCAGCGCTAGACTTTTAATCTAGGATGGGGGTCAGCTATTAAATACAAAGATGTTAAGTTTAAGTGGCAGTTTATTAACCCGTAGTGTCTGTAGAGTACATGGTATCTTAAAGTTCTAATTACAACACGTAATTCTTATACTCAAATTAGTACTGTCATTAATGCAATCTGATTAACTGGTTAAAACAAACTAAAATTAAATATGTTTTTGAAGAGTCACATATAGACTTAATAAATAGGAAATGAATCTAAGGGTAGTTTAACAACGCCAACAAAATTAATATAATAATCAAACATACCCAATGACTTTGGCTCTGTCCGTATGAAATTAGGGCAAATTAAATCTAATAAATCTCACTCCTGCTCCCACGTGGTGGTAGTGGCGGGGTAAGTATTCCAAGGTTCCTGATAATGGACTGCAGCTAAACAGCTTTTTCTACCATTATAGGTACGCTCCGCAGCAAACTAAATCCTTGGGTCGGGCCGGTAGTGAGGCAAAATCCAAATGTAACGTAATGACATTACAATCTAATAAGAGTATCGAACTAGAGGTTAAGTAAAAATCTGAAGTAAGGTAAAGAAAATAAGGTATAAATAGAATAAGGTATAAAAAGAACCCTGTTATCAGGGTTCCAAAACGTTTTACAAACAAAGCAGCGGCATTATAATTAATTCCTTTACAATGAAAATATCTATTCCAACAAATAACTCGTGTCATTAACGAGGCTGGCCAAACATTAAAAGATGAATTATGCCTTAGATTACAGCAAACAAATATGGATTACTAATATAAAAAAAATACATCGCCCCGCGTATAACCCGCGGCACGAAACTCTAGCGGTGACAGTTACTGCGCAGAAGTCAAAAATCAGGTATCTTGTGGGGTAAGAGGGACGAAGGGCGGGCGTGCGTAGCGCCGATTGGCTCTCCAGTCGCATTACGTCCCCCGCACTGATACGACACGCCGCGTGCTTCCAGAGTACAGTCGCGTTCTGAGTTATATTGTTATCGCTGTTAATTTTTGTTGCTGTTTTTTGTTAAGTTATTTTTTGTTTGTGACTTTAAACAGTGAATATGCCTAGAAGAAATACTGTTTTGAAACGACAGGCACGGAAAATGGTATATGACGTGCATTGTTTTTTGAAAAGGGAATCTGATAAATTAATTGATTCTTTAAAACAAATCAAAAGTGAGATTGACGAAGCTACGAGTATTTTACTCAATCATTCGGACAGCAGCACTGTAAATTTAAGCCAGATAAAACAAACTGCAGAAGTTATTAGGGCGGTTATTATTAAAAACTGCTTTGCTCAGGCTAGGTTATTTGAGGTACCATCACATTATCATTATAATCATCACTAATTCCGAAAACAGTTTTTTATCTCCAAAATAAAAATTGACAAATTCTGTTTTAATTTTTCTACTTCCTATAAACTTGTTAAAAATCCTGGGTAACATAATTTTTTTGGATATTGGAACTATAAACTATAATAATGACATACACATACACTCACGCATACACACGCACGCACACCACGCACACGCACAAAGTACATTTTTTTTTAACATACACGTTTATTACTACTACTTAAGTTTTAAATGTTAATATACACGGAGACCAATAATACTGGTTCAACCCAGTGCAGGCTCCCATCTCCTACAAGCACAATAACTGTCTGTATATATTCTTATAGCTTTTACCCGCGGCTTCGCTCGCAGTTTTATCTTTCGTAAAAAATATTATTTTAATAAAAAGTATCATATGTTACTTCTAAAACCTCCAAGAATATGTGTACAAAGTTTCATGATGATCGGTTAAGTAGTTTTCACGTGAAAGCGTAACAAACAAACTTACATTCACATTTATAATGTTATATAGTATGATTACTTACTTACCTTTTGTACCTATTGTTGAGAAAATAAAGAAATTCAAATTTGACGACTCTGGCACGTGAACAACTTTCAGAAGTTACACTCTATAACATTAACTATTTACTAAAGTTAATATTTGCGTGCGCGATAGTACCCATGCGCGGCTATCCCTTCCACGTTCCGCTCAGCGCTAGACTTACGTGCCGCTAGTTATACTAGTTTCACACGGGCTGAGGACAAAGTGACGGCCATCTTGCCATAGCCAAAACTCGCTCTTCACTATAACGCGTCAGAAAAATGTTGCCAGAACAAGAAAAACCCAAATCGATACATTACCATAGACGATCAGCACCGACCTTTATTCTCGTCCGTGACACCGTCAATCGGAGCTCACTGAAACGTCATAAAATTCGACCGTCAAACCAAAAACGCGTCGATAAATAAATTTTCTGTAATGGTGCGAAACGCAACCGATACAGTTTTTTTCAAATTAATTTGATAAAAACGAATCATCTATTACTCTTAAACCAACGGAGTTTACTTATTCTTTTAATTTTTTTAAATATCAACTACCACGCTTGGAATATATTCTGTTGCGGGGGACTTTAGAAACATACATGAAACGAAGCCTTGATATTTTTGCTTCTGCTTCCTTCTTATACAAATGCATATACTACGGAATTGAATTGGAGACAGTGGTGGAGGGACAAAAGTTTTAGCACTTTAATGTTTAATATTCAACAATACCCTGCTCCTTCCTATGCTCGATTACGCTGATGTCAGCTATCTCGATATTACTGAGAAGTAACTTGATAAACTTGAGCGCCTTCAAGTTTTCTGCATTAGATTCATATTGGGTTTATGCAAATATGATCATGTAACTGAATTTCGTAAATTGCTCAAGTGGCTCCCATTCGACTTCGACGGAATACAAATATACTTTCTATTCTTTATAGTATTTTATTTAATCCATTTACTCCACCTTACTTCAATAACGTTTTCTGTTCCTCAGTGAAACAACTAAGATCCTTCAGGTTGTCGGAATCCTTGGAGCTAATGGTACCTAGCCACACTACCAAATTCTATAACAAATCTTTTACGGGCAGGCCTTGCACGTGGCCCCAACACTGACAGCATTTGAAAATATAGTCAAAGATCACTAATTAAGTTCATAAGTACTCTTTGCTTTCAATAGCTGGATGTGACTAAATGATTTCATGGTTATCAATATATATTGTACTAGCTGGTACCCGCGACTTCGTTTGCGTGCAATTTGAAAAGCGCTGCCTTAGTGGGTTCGATCCCCGGACCGGGCAAAATTTTATGGGGTTTTTTCGAGAGGAAACATAGCCTAAGGTACTCCTTATATAAACAGCTACCTGGTAGTAAAATATTATCAAAATTGGTCCAGCCGTTTAGAAGATTACCCAGAACACACAGACAGACAGACAAAAAAAAAACTGGTTTTAGGCATATCATCGGGCAAATAATCGTGTGAGCATCAAAAAAACCTATTAATTTGACATTACAAACAGACACTTCAATTTTATTTATTTGTATAGATAGTTATATAGTATATATATACAGGTATTAGAAATATAATATATTTTTAATTTTGAAATGTTTTTAGCGCTATTGTATATTTATATTAGGTCTTTACCTATGAAATTGCCGTTTTGTATGCAATAAGTGAAAGTACTTATTTTTTCAAACTTTTTTATTTCTGTTATTCGAAGTAATCACCCATACAATCGACGCATCTTTGCCAACGCATTGGCAGTTTATTGATGCCCTTTTTGTAAAAATCAGCTGGACGGGAGGCAACAAACTCTTCAAAGGCATTTTGTACTGCCTCTCGGGAATTGAATTTTTTACCCACTAAAAAGTTGTCTAAATTTTGGAAAAAGTAATAGTCGGTAGGTGCAAGGTCTGGTGAGTATGGCGGATGAGGGAGAGCTTCCAACCCCAGCTCTTGCAGCTTGGAGACTGTCTGTTGCGCAGTATGGGGTCGCGCGTTGTCGTGAAGGAGCAGTGGGGACGACCGATTGACCAAAGCTGGTTGCAGATGTGACCACCAGACCTTGCACCTACCGACTATTACTTGGTGGTTTCCACACGTAACAAAAGACGCACTGCAGAGCGCGCCCTTTAGGGAGTAAAAACTTTTATACCATAAAAAAAGGAGTAGAATGAGAACATCTAGGTTTCCATACAAGAGGAGGTCATCTACAAACCTTACATGGCCATCTAAGGTTTGTAGATGACCTCTGGTTCGAGGTCCGGCTGAGTACCACGGATTTCCTTTCTGGCACGCGAGACGGTGTGCGATTTTTAGTAGGTTCGAGTCCGACAAAACCACACCACCGGGGTGCCAGCGGGCGCTGCGGTAGCCTATCCTTAATATTAATCTATCATATTGTAATCGATGTACAATAAAGCATATTCTATTTCCTACACCAAAAAACACACAAAACTAACAGTAGAAAAACCATTTCCACCTTATGTTTATTTCTAACATTTTATTTTATCTCTATCGACGTGAATAACATGAAAGGGTTCCTTATTAAGGAATCTTAAAAACACCTTAATTATTTAGGTTGAATAGTAACAAAAGTATTTTCGTTTCAGTTGGCGTAGAAACAAAATCGTTTCCATTTAGCCAAGAATCAAACTGTTTTTATATGAAAGAGAACCTGGTGCTGGAAGGAATATCACAAGACCATATCAAGGAATACGTATCTGAATTGTTGCTTGTAGGAACATATTATAAACGTCTATATAAGTTTGCTTTTAGTGAAACACTGGAGGAACATTTTCATAGTAATGGATTGGTATATGAGGTAAGCTTTAAGATTTTGTTTTGTTGATATCAGCGTTAGATTCCAAAAGCCTTCTGAAATTCTATACAGAACAAAAAACTAATAGAAAACATTCTAATATGAAATGACATTAGGTAGGTAAACAGGTAAGCAGGTTTCCTCTTTTTGAGTGCACATTTGCACGTAAGTTTTACCCGACTGCGCCAGAAGAATGGTTATGTTTTTCGACTATGTATGTATATTTCTGTGGCACGCTCTGTCTTTAGCCTTTTACGGATGGATTTTGTCGTTTGAGATGTTAGATTTGTCGTAATTGTGAGAGTGAGACTGGGTATATGAAAATCATAAAAATTTTATTTGCCGGGTTGTAAATTTTAAATGACCACACACGGCCAACTTTTTTGTTTTATTTTTCAAAGAATTAGCTTGTATTAAGTGAGACTCAGTATCTCAAAACAGCGATACTGACCGAATAAACATAAAGTCACTGAATAAACATACAAGTCTGGGCTCATTACTAGCAGAAGGGTACGCAATTTGTAAAGGATCAAACCGATAACGGATATCACAAGTCTCGAATAGGGACTGAGACTGCAGCAGTTTGGAAAGACCGGGCTTGCGTACCCGTATGTAAGTTCTTTTATTGGAGAGGACACGAACTATAAAACCGCGTCAATGGTTAGTGCAACCTTTCAAGATGTCAGGTAATACAAAGTTACGTTAAATCTTTATTACTTGATCGCGTTAATTACCGTTGGTAAACATAATATATTTATCATAGAACGCAAAAGTTGTGATGTAGGTATCTTATTTGCCTTAGACGGAGTACGTTGAATTCGTAAGAAGTCAGTTTACGAATAGGTCTGTTACTCTCTACGGAGCTACAGTATCTATATAAAGCTTATTGAAAAACATTTTTTTTATAGGCAGCGAGAGAAGTGGTGCGAAGATATTTACTTGAATTTCGCCTTGCGGCCACCGAGATATACGATAAATGTTTTAAAGCATCCAACGAGGATTTAAATTGCATGCCAACCCTATTGCAAATACTTTACCACATGGAACCACTCAAATATGAGATTGAAACGGTTGCATCAATCTATAAAGTTATAAACACAGGTAATATGCACCTAAATTATTAAAAGGTAGCCTATATATCTTCCCTGAATCAATGTATCTCCACACCGAATTTTATGTAAATCGGTTCAGCGGTTATTGATTCCTCTTCCAAAAAGGTGGAAATCCCCTTAAAGGATGATTTCTGGGATAAAAACTACCCTATGTCCTTTTCCGGGACTCGGACTATCTCTATACCAACTTTCATCTAAATCGGTTCAGTGTAACAGACAGACAGACAGAAAGAAAGGCTCACTTTTGCCTTTATAATATAAGTATCGATTATAATATATTCACGCTCTAAGAATTTTAGAAAAAAAAGTCCTCAAGATTTTTTTGCAGATGCCCAAACTACCAAAACTACAATACCCCACGGAGCCGAACTGATGTCCTATTTGTTCAACGAAACCTCAGCTATCACACACAAACAAACCACATTCACGGTGTATAACTCGTTGTATACTGTTTGCAAAGTCTACTTCAAGTAAGAACATTTTATCTGTACATATTAGAATATTGTAACTTATTTAAAAGAATTATCGTGAGGTCAGATTTTTTTCATTTGTTTTTTTTTGTGCTCCTAAACTGGATCTAAAATGAAAATCTAACTTTACCATCTTTCTATTGCTGTGGATTTATTTTAAACACGATTTTGCACGTACATGTATACATTGTACTTCGCACAGTAAGCAATATGATATAAAAAATAGAATAATTACCAGGTAAATATACATAAATAATTTGCGCTTTACATTACCATAATTTTATTGTAGATTGTTGCCATCAGTGTACTCCTGAATTCTGAAATGTCTTAAAAATGAATAATAGTTCTATTCTTACTTTGTCGAGAAATAAGAAGTCCTGTTTTCTTTAACATCTCAGTTTTTAAGCAGATGATAAACAATAACATTCCTAATTACTATTTTATATGTAATAATTTATTTTTAGGTTTATAGAACGATATATATTTGAAGGTGAATTGGAGGACAGGTACAATGAATTTTTTATTCGAAAAGACAACCAGTACGTGAACTGTCGTTCTAAGAGGTATTGGGATAAAGGGTTTCACATCACTCAAGCTGTAGCTGTACCAGAATTTTTGAAGTCAGTTGCTAAGTTTATATTACTTTGTGGGAAGTCTTTGAGGCTGTTGAAACTTTGTAATCCTAATGTAAGTACATTAAAAAAAAAAACAATATTTTTATTCGGTTGTATTCGACTAGAAAGACGGCTAAAGAGTCTACATCTTTTGCAATTTTCCTAAACTTATTTAGGGGCGGCGCAATGAGTTTTATTCTTCCATTCTCTTTTATTATTCGTCAGTTTACTGCACACCCTTCCTAACCATATGGCTATCCTCTTTCCTCATTTAAGCAGCCCGTCCATATTTCCTTAGCCGTCCTTTACTCCTGTCGTGCGAGGAAGTTGAAAGATGTCGCCTTCCACGTTTGTGTTAAACAATAAATGTTGAAATTTGCATTGGTTATTTATTATTCACGTTAAAATTAATTATTTTCTGTGTTTAATTTTTTTACTAAACGATCGAATTACGAGTCTCTTTCTCTCACTTTGTTTAATTGATAGTCGATATGGCACATAAGTGGATAGTAAAACAAATTGTGGTACAAAGTTTACTTCAAACAAAAGTAATATCGTCTACAAGGTTAGCTATTAACATATCTATATCTATATATGGTCCCTAGTGTTTTAAAAACATGTCATTATCCATACAAATAACACAGAAATGAAGATGTGAAACTAGTTTAAAGTTGCCCCTTCCTTTAATTAGTAAGTAATTTATGTAGGTAACTGTGCTTTACATTTGCAGGATCCCCTAGTCCTCCTAATATCATCAGATCATCCATCAGTAAAATGTTGCGTAAGTTTCGAAGACCTCGAGCGTCAACAGCAAGTACTGGATGTTTACCGAACGAGATGTCTGTTCGTTAGCGGCGAATTAGTCACCTTTGATCAAATACTCTTGAAGAGGGAAGCTGAGAGAAAAGCCTTTACAGAAATGGCGTCACTGAAGCAAGCTGAGACTATGGAGAAAATTACCGGTATGTAAAAGTTAAACTCATTGTATTACTGTCTTGTTTCAAATATTACTTATTTATAATTTATGTCCGACGATGTCGCTTATTTTAAAAACAGTTGGTGTAAGTATATACTTACACCAACTGTTTTTCTGATTTATCACAATCAACATGGTCTTAGACAATTGATAGCTAATCTTGCCAAAAAGCGCTTGTAAATAGTAAAAGTTTTATTATTTGCTTCCTAATTTTTAGCCGAACGCAAAAGATTAGCGCAACTAATAATAGCGGAGAAACAACATTCCTTGCGTGTACTGGAAGCAGCCATGGCAGAAGCAAAAGCCGCGAAATGCAAAGCAAAACAACGTGAACGGATGCGGTACGAATTGGAACATGCTGCTGAAAAGGCAACTGAGGAGGTCGATTCAAAACTTAGAAATGATGAGAGGTACCTTAGTAATATTAACAAAATATTTAATGTTTTTTAAATATATATTTTGTATACGTAACCTCCAAAATTCCCTTTAAAAAATAATCAGGAAATGAAGTAATTTTATTACATACCAACTTGTTTGTTCAAACTTTTCTTGATGAATTCTTAAAGATAAAAACATTGAATTTCAATGTACAGAGACTATGAAATGAGGCTCGCTTGGGCTTTTATGTCCTTTGTCCAGTATAAAACTTATGTCCAGTATATGAATATTTTGTTTTTTTTTTTTAATATTTTAGGAACAAAATAATGGAATACTATTCAAAATTGAACATGGAAGTCGAAAAGAGTAAAATGCACACGGAATGGAAAATCAAACGTTTGCAGCTAGACCAAAGCCGAATGCAACTGCTATCAACCGAAGAACGAAATCTAAAAAGGGAAAAATTAGAACTCGAACATCAGAGAAACGAAGAAGTTATGGCAATGTCTATTCAAAGCATCGATTACAATAAATCTGAGCACGAAATTGACGATAAGGATAATGAGATTAATTCTAACGTAGTTGCCGGCGACAACATGTCTGAATCAGTACAATCGATTATAATGGAAGATGTTGAAGAAAATAATAGTCAAAGCCACAGTGAAATAAGCAGTTCTATCGGTCAAACTTCCTCTACTGTTATCAGTGCCATATGTAATGTAGCTAAGAGTTTTTTCGGTGTCTCTAAATCTCAAGACGGTCATTGCGATAATAACAGAGAAGTAGATGAACAAGGGAATATTGTTCTGACTAAAAGTGAAAGTTTTATACAACATACCCAATCGTCAAGTGACATAGGAAGTAAATTAAACGTATTTAATGATAATCTGCAATTCCAAAGAAACAAACAAGATGCACTACTAAATAAACAAAAAGTAATGGCCCATGAATTCAATCAAATTGATGCAGAGAACAATCCCGTAAAGAGTCCGTCCTTAGTACACTTTGCGACGGTTGATGAAGAGAATAATTTGTATGATCAAAATTTACCATTTATGGAAGCCAAACGGAATAAACGAAAAGTACTTGGCACAGAAATTGATGTTATCAAATCAGAGCCAAAACTTGTATTTCAAGAACCAAGAACAGATGCTCAAAAAGAAGCATTGCTGAACAAGATGAAAGTTTTGGGAGTTGAATACAACCTTCCTCCCGAAAATATTATAATTCGAGAACCCTTGAACAATGCACAGGAAGAAGCAGTACGAAATAAGAAAAAGATAATGAGTTCAGATCATGAGATGAGTTCGTTTCAAGGTAGTTCTAGAAGTGAAAGTGTGAAGCGATTAGGATTAACGTTGAATTTAAAGCCTTACAGTGAAGGCTGTACACGTGAAGGTAGCCCTGCTATGACGCCTAACGCAGGTTCTATCACTCCTGGAGACATTTTTCCAAGGGTAAGCATTAAAATCCATTTGTTTGTAAAATAATATTTTGTATACTTTAATAAATCGATTACCAAACCTTTGCAGCTTGACCTTGAAACGCCGACAACAGCGGAGATACCTCTTGAGGAAGCTATGACTGCAGACATATTTACACCGAGAAGCGAGGCCAGTAAAGATTTAGAATCGGCTAAAACAAGAGACTTTCTTACAACCGACGGCTTTAATTTTCCACTAATCGTTGATGATGAAAATGTCGAATCTGAACTAACCAATACAACTCACACCGGTGATACGCCGGATGGCTCGCCATTAAAAGCCTTAGACACTGGAGCCCCAAATAATACAAAATACTCGTTTTTCAATTTATTAGATGGCTCGTATACTCTTAAAGATTTCGATCCCTTCGGAATTAAGGATTTAAAAAACTATTCTAAAGATCACTTCACAAATAAAATGAAGGCAGATATGGCAAATTCTTGTTACACAAATCCATCTATCATTATGGAGGAAGTGCAAAAGCGACCGTACGAGAATATATTTGCTTCGCGATATGTACCCGAAGAAGATAATGAAAAGAAGATAACGTGTGATAACATAGCCACTCTTACAGCTTGCCTGCAAAGGTCTGTGATGTTACCCTTAACATATCAACTAGAAGTGGTCAATAACTCTATTCTGACCTACTTCCTTGTAAATCTTGATATGTATGAACATTTGAGAAGCCTTAAAGATTATTTCTTTTTAATGGATGGAGAATTTTCCAGAAGCATTTGTGATAATTTGTTTTCAAAGTTGGTGAAGACATTGAATCCTCAAGAGTTGTTAAATTTTGCAACATTGCATAATATTTTAGATAAAGCTTTAGGATCGTCCATCTCACGTAAGTTCATAAATTAAGTGTTCAGATATGCAGAGTTTATCAATCATAGTAGTATCCTAGTTATTTATTTTAAGTATATTTATGTTCAGCATAATGATTATATTATGTAGAATTTGGCCTTCATGGTACCTTAATGGTTTCTTGGATATTGCAGATGTTCACAAATTCTCAGAAAACTTATCGTTTACCATAACGGAATCACCTCTGAGTTTCCAACATAGCTCTCCAGACGTACTACAGTGCCTGTCACTCACGTACGCCGTCAGTTGGCCACTAAACATCATATTGTCGCAAGAAGCCTTGTTACGATATGCTAAGGTTTTCCAGTTCTTGGTCAAGATGAGAAGGATATTCTGGGTTTTGGGTGAAGATTTTGAAGTAAGTATTGAGACACTCGTATGTGGGTTAATAGTCAGCTCGCATAGCTTCAGTCTTCTTTTATGAATTTTTAAAAAAAGAACCTATTTTGGAACTATTTGAAAAATAAAATCAACCACACCCATCTGTCCGGAATAATTTAATAAACTTGGCTATCATTTTTTTCAGGCTCTAAAGTTATCAGTAAAATTATCAAAAGAACATTCTCGCAAGCTTGTCAAATCACCGCAGTACATTTCTGTACAAATATACCGTCACATAATGGCTTCCATGATCCGAGCTCTTGACAATTACATAGTGACAACTTGCATTCTCACATCGTGGATTGAATTTGAGAACGATTTGAAAAAAGCTAGGACGTTGGACGATCTTTACGAATGTCATGTCATTTATATAAAGAAGGTATTGTTCAGATGTCTATTGAACAATAGATCTACGCCCGTGATGAAGTTGCTTAATGATATATTTACAGTCATATTGAAGTTTAGTCGAGTTCTAAAAGCTGGGTAAGTTCATTTAAAAAAAATGGTTTTAGAGAAAACATGTAAAATAGTAAATAAAAATGTCTTAGGAGACAACTACACACACACTGTCTCAGTAAAATAATGTTGATAAATATTGTGGCGGAAGACCTTGCAACTCTGAATTTACTGTATAACAAAGCTAGAAATCGCGGCAATAGTGCTTCCTAATTTCAATGTTGTTTGTTAGTATTAGTCACCGGCGCTTATTAACCACTTATAAACACTTACGACTCGTTGTCATTTTTGGGTTTTGTTCCATGAAACCCTGGTTACTCTGATCACCTCATTATTTGCCTTGGTAGGGTATCGGACTGAAAAGGCAGCTTCATTAGTAGTCTGTATTTATTTTTTGGGTCTAAACATTATTATTAAGGCTGGTGGTATATTCATAGTTGTTGTAATTCATCATTATCATAATCATATAATATACAGCCTATAACAGTCCACTGCTGGACGTAGGCCTCTCCTTAGAAAGGAGGTTTTGGCCTGCTATACCCACTGGCCAGACGGGTTGGTATAGGGTTTGTTTCAAGTTTTCCTTCGTTTTGCAGTGCTGTTGTCCTGCGTAGTTTGTTCCCTTAGTCGGCTCTTACGACACCCACGGGTTTGACATTCCGTATTCTTAATCCGTCATCTCAAGAATGTATGTTGTAATTAATTAAAAAACATTTCTTTTCAGAGAGTGGCATCAAAAAGAAAAAGACGGACAATTCACACATACGAGTTTTATACAATTGCAAGAACTGTTTCACTTATTTGAAAAGCTTGCAAAGTATCTACACAAAGTCGTCACAAAACTTATGGAGTGCGGCTACCAGAGGCATCTGGTCGAACTCTTGACTATGGTCAATTTGAATGGGTACTACAATCCGGAGAAAACTAAATCGGAACAAAATACCAGTGTTCTGTCTGTGACATGAATTTTAAATGTTTGTATTTTTTACAATATTAAGATTCGTTTATTGAACCGTCGACGTCAATAGCATCATTACTTAATCTTAGATCTGATTTCATCTAGTAGTGTTTTCATGTTTTTAATTAGTTATCGTTTTTCCACATCGGATCTGTCTAAACTATGTATTGACTTTTATACTATATACTGTATTAGTTGTCTCCTGTAGTTTCGCGCCTTATACTATTCTATTTTAATTGTTAAGTCACTGTAGGTTTATTTAATAAACTATTTGTGTATCAAAAAGAAGTCTTCAAAATAGGCGGAGTTGGTAATACTAGTATTAAGACAGTTCTTCTTTTTAAAATCTTTTAACACTTGATGGCAAAAGAGAGCTATCTGAATGCGCCTTTTTTAAAGGTTCGTGAAGTCTCTCAACCGACACTATATCGGCATGGTGAGCTAGGTTATTAATGTTATATATTTACCAATAGTTTAAAGCATTAACGAAAATCATAATAAAATATATAACTTATCTACTCATTAGCAATTTGAAATAGATTTTTTTTTGTTTGCCAAAATTTCGGGTGGATATTTTATACTTAACTCTTATTGTAGTTATGTGCCAATTACGTTAAAAAAAAACAAAATTATGCTCCAAATTATACTTTGTATAATTCTCATGAAACTTTTCTTAGGAGTATTACACAATAAATTAAGTCAATTGGTAGATAGGCCTATTGGTCCAGTGGTTATTGATCCTGACTACTTAGCCAGAGGTTGTGGATTCTATTCCCACCCAAAACAATTAATTGTGATGAGCACGATCATTTGTTCTATATCTAGAAATATTTAAGTATGTTTATCAGCAGTCTGGTTACTATAGTGCAGGTTTTGCCTAGGTTGTGATGAGAAGGCCGTATGTGAGATGTATGAGGTTATTATTAGTTTTTATAATGTTGTTGATTATTATTAGCAAGTATTAAACAATCCTCTCTATTTATTTACTATGAAAGTTAGTTTGCTGATAGAATAATTGTATACTTTTTTTATAAATACACACATATTATCCATAGAAAACACCCAAACTCTGAAACTAATATTTGCAAATCATTCAAAAATTTTGGTCCGAAATGGGAATCGAACCCGAGACATCAGCACAGCAGTAGCATACGCTACCACTGCACCACCGAGGCAGTCCAACCGGCAGTAATGTATCTTTTAGATACTTGCATATTTTCTATTCATGTACTATATATAATTATAAATCATGGAAGGAGCTAAAGATTAAAAGTATATATATACCTGGAATGCACATAGCCTTGAAATTATTCCAGGCTGCTTTAAAAACGATGATAAATTAGGCTGCACTAAATATTTATGTTAGGCTCAGTAGTTCAGTGCTATCGTGTTTGGTGTCTATCTATATCTAATCTCATAAAATTTAGTATTATGTTAATTTGTAACATGTTATCTGTAATATTTAGATATATATAGCTTATAGGTAGTTAAACAAAATACATAATTATATACCTGAGGTGATTTGACATAATAATGAGTAAAGTCCATGACATAAATGTTATCGATTGTTAAGTCGATTTAGTTTTTTTCCCACCTAATAATCATGTGATATGTAATAGTCATGTGTATGATATGTGTTTTATGTTATTATGGAAAGTTAATTTATATTTGAATGTGTAGGAGTGAATGTTGTTTACCTAACTATTGTTATCTATGGGTTATGAAAATTTGATGCTGAAAAAATCAACTTAGTTTTATTTGATTAAATAGTTATTTCCTTATAAAATCTTTTATTTACCCAACTACCGAAAAAAAAACAAATTGAAAGTCGGTTATTTTTTTACATTTAAATTGAGAAAATCAGTTTAGTTGTTCGGTATTCAAGTTGAAGATATTTGTATCCTTATTTTATAGTGGCGACATCTATTTATGTTCTCGAGAATTAGAACGGCAATCTTTTCGTATCTTGTTTCTCACAGAAATGTTCATGTAGTCCCGCCATCTGTTGTTAAGTAGCGTCAGGCTTTACATTCAACGCCATCTTCCGTATGCTAGAACAGTCAAAATATTTATATCTTTAATATTTTGTTTTTCTTTGTTGTAAATTTAAATTGGTGTCCATATTATTACCACTGCTAATTATTTTTTGTTATAAAATTTCAGTGCGTTTCAGTTTTTATTAGATAGCCTGTAATCAACAGAACATAAGTTTCTTATTAGGACCGCTGCGATACTAGCGCCAATATTTTCCTTATAATCAGTGTGTGTTTTCACGAATACTTCATTCTACCACAATTCGTCCTAGGGTTAACATCCTATCCTAATCAATTTAGTGTGTGACATTGAAGTGAAAGCCAGTGTTTCCTACAGTCTGCCATTGTTTTTCCTGGAAAACTTTATCTCTGATACAATTTTAATAGAAAACATACAATTTTCGTGAAAGTCAAAACATAAGTGATTTGTTTGTTAATTATCGATTCGAGAGCTGCTACCTGCGAACTCGGTTTTTCACGGCGACGTAGTCGATATTTTACCAAAAACGTTAACACGTAAGAGTCACCGTCACCACCGCCGAGATGGCGTTCATGATGCCTGTAGTAAAGAACGATTGGGACATTTACAACTCGCAGCGGTCGCGACGGACCTCAGAATCTGCGGACAAGGCCGGCCTAGGTGGCGGGCGCGTCCGCAAGGTGTCGGAGTCGCGGTCGGAGGGCCCGGCGCTGTCGCCGCGCTCGCACACGCTGAGCCCGCACCGCAGCGCGCCGGCTATGCGCTCCCTGTCGTACTGCCGCGCGCCGCCCTCGCGTGCTTCCCTTCGAGTCCCCATCGACAGTCCCAGCAAGGGTTCGGCTAGCCCCAAAGGCGTACCGCGGGAGGACAAGTTCCACAGCAGGTTGGTGGAGAAGCTGAAAAGAGCGCTCGGCCGCTCAGATTCGCGTCGCGAGGAGAGGAGCTCGTGAGTTAACGAGTGCTTGTGTGCAGGGCGCGTGCCGAGTCCCCCGAGCGGCACTCGCGGTGCGGGGCCTGCGTGCCCTACCTGTGACACGAGCCGCCAGCGGCGCCGCCACACTATCTGTGATATGTTCCCGATAGTGAACGCGAGGAGATGAGTAGACAATTGATGAATGTGCTAACTAACCGCCTATGGTGTTTCGGATGCTGAGAACTTAACGATTGAACGTTACACATCGACACAATGCAATAGTTTTAGTTGTCATCACTTACATTATATCGATTTGCTTTCCTTAACTGTTGCATGTTCGTTAGTCGTTCACCGACCACCGTACCGTTTATCATAATGATCAGGTTGTCAGATTTAGGTTGTAATGAAAAAAGTACGTTGTATGGATTTTAAGACTGCGTTTAGTTTAAGCACACCCTGGGGTTCGATAAGTATTATTTAAAAATCACCCCCGAGGTCATTAGAGGTTAGTTCTGCAGTTTGCGAAGGGTATCTGTGATTTGTTATTTGTAAGTGGTTTAATTTATTTAAGCTGAAGGGAACATATATTCAACTCTGTTTTTGAATTCAATTTCATAACCATTCATTCATATTATGCAGTTTTAATTTTGCAAAATTTTAATTTATGAATTTGCATCCGTTTGAGAATTGGTCATTAAATGTATACTAATTTAAAAGCTGAATTCATTTGTTTGTTTGTTCTTTCGCGCTAGTGTCTGGAAGTATCAGTCAGATTTAAATCATTCAATGTATTGGATAGTGTATTCATTGAGTGAGGCTATAGGAAGGCAGAAATTATTGGCATGGGGAAGGGGATCTTTATAATGAATACCTGTCTAGAGTTGTAATTAGAGTACCTTATATTAATAAAAATGTACACATAGTGCAAACTGTCGATATTGATAATTGTAAGCCGTGTTGTATGTATTGTAGTCATCGATGTAATAATATGATTATAGTTTTATTTACTGATGGAGTTTAACCTCCTACAACATTTGGTTATGATTTTCGCCTATTTTATATGGTGTTAACCGATGACTGTTATTGGACCAGCTTTGTTATGTAGTTATCTATCAGTAAAACTGAGACCGATAATAGTGATATATAGTAAGATGTATTAATAAATTCTAAAATAAGAGCATATTTAAACATTTTGATGTTGGTAAATCAGGTGAAGTTTCTATAATTAAATTTGTTCGCTTATTAAAGTTCCTTATGTCTATTAAACTGCCAGTGGGTGGTTAGGTAGGCCTATTTCAATTCTAAACATGTGCAGTATCTTTATATATTATCGAATTCAGAATTTTACATCTATCATTTTGATTGAGTGTTATTGTTTGCAAATAATTAAATTCGATTTGCATGTACATGAAAGTGATGTTCGATGGGTTTCAAAATATTGATCATTTAAATATACAGCTTATTCTAAAATACTTTTATCTTTTATTTCCCTTTACCAGTACACTATTTCATGCATTTTCATTTAACGCCCCAAGGAGTTCGACGTAAGTATAATATGGATATTCATGTACTCTCTATACCTACATTTGCTGACAGTAACCCTTTTGAGAATGTTTGTTAACTGAAAAAATGCATGATTCAACATTCTACAATGTTACCTATATGTACCTAAAGAACTTTTACTAGGGTTTTTTAGTGATATGTTAACACTTGCATGTTTTGGCACACATCTTGATATAATGCAGCCGGTAGGTTCCTGCAGACTAATTAATTACAAATATAATTGGGTATCCGCAATTCCAATATTTGCATATATTATTATACGTTTTCTACATATATAATAATTTATACAAATATCGCCACTGCGGATGCCCAATTATTCTGGCACATGCAATTAGTAAAATTATACGCAAAGGGATATGAAATTGATACGATGATCATTAAAATTTTCGCTTACCTCTTTATATACAGAATAAAAATAAATATTTTGTTAAAGTTATAACTATTTTAGCTGAAATATAAAGCTGAAAAAAGTATGAGTAAAATAACAAAACTGTCCATTTCGTGATTACTACAAGTTATTTTTTGGTACTTTTTATACAGAAGTAGAATAGATACAGAACTTGAATATATCTTAACATACTAAATGTATTATTCAAGACGGTACCAAATCACTATACAGAAGTAATGCAAAGACAATCAATCAATGCAAGAAAAATGGATAATATTTTTACTTTACCGTAATTATACATTGTTTTACTTCTTTTTTAATTAGGCCTTCCTGAAAAACTGATAAAACATATTACCTCAAGTTTCTCTTGCCGTGAAAGCAAAAGTTCAACCTAACCCAAGAATGTATCTATATCAAGCGAAGTGCATTTGTAGGCTGCGTCGCGATCGATCCCTTGTCGTCGCTTCTTCAACCTTCTCGAATCTTCGTTTCTTTGATATCGCATACGTTATTTATGTGGGTATTTAGAATTGAAGAGTATTGGTATCATACGTAGTACTTGTTTAGAACTCACAAATATGCCTTGAACTTTGAAATTCGTTCGGGCTTGTTCAATATACATACGAATGATACGTGTTATTTGTTTCATTAAACTGTTCACATTTACGCGTTGTTAATTTTGAATGGCTTGAGAGACTATAAGAATAAGCTTATTATTTGTTTGCTAAAATAAAAATAAAGTTTAAAATCAAGTGTGCTGATGTATGTTATACTTTTACAACAGTAGCTTTATTAACTTTAAAACTTTTGACTAACTTGGGGGTAGTAAATAAAAAACATATTTTAAATTTAGAACAGTCATTACTTTGGAAAACAATTCAAGCCAAGCAATCGAGTACTACCTGTTACGTTTGAATTTAAGCACTTATTGTAAAATATAACATTCGTCCAAAAAAGTGTTTAGTATAGTTTAACACTAGTTTCGAAAAAGTAAGACGAGTACCATGAATAGATGTGGCAATGGGTTATCATTGTTTTTTGCAGAGATGAGGTACCTACCTCCCTAAATTACCTACCTACCTAAATTAGAGTACTATGAATGGGCCAATGGTGGTACCATTGGCCCATTCATAGTACTCTAATTTGATTCCAAATCTGCTTTTCACTACCTGCTTAAAGCTCCTATGGCAAATCAATCTATGTAAAAATAGGTGAAAACAATTTCTTGTAACCCTTGTTTAGAAAATTTCGGTGCATAGAAGAATGTGAAATTTGGAATTCTTAATGTTTCTATCAAGAAATGTAGAGTGCTTACCTTTTTCAATAACTCTAGGTATTAGGAATTTAAAAATGATCTAAAAGGGATATGTTAAGCTACAACGTGAATTATATAAAAATGTACATTAACCTGGCAGTTGAGGTCATTTTATTTAACTGACATTATACAGTGCGTTTTTTTTTCTTTTTTGCCCATCTGTGATCGATCAGTACAAACGGTAGAAAGGTTTAAAAAAAATGACCAAATGCTATTGTAACTAAGGCTAGATTTGCTCCTCTAACATAAATTGAAATCGATAATGATTAAATACAATACTTAGTGAGTTGTTTTCAGTACCTAAAAACCCTTAGGAAACCTATGACTCCTATCATTAGCAACCCTCCCTGCTGACAGAAAAGGACACCACCGCACTTATAATTCTGCCTATTTATTTTCTTATGTTCGCGAAATAGGTACATTGGGCCTGTTGGGGATCCTTGAGTATGAGCATGCCGAAGCTTAGGCTCTATCTCCTTGTCATATAATGCATTCAAATCTAAGCTTTGCACTGAATACTTGTCTATACCGCAGTGTAATAGTACGATTCACAACAATACCTTATTACGTACCGGACGTATATAGTCAGTGTACGTCGTCACCGTACCGGTGCCAAACGGTGAAACCATTGATATAATACTTACATAGATGAGTAATTACCGCCTAAAATCGTTGCTACTGCACATCTGTCCACAGGCATATGCGTAGCAAACGTCAATTCAGTGTTCAATGTGGCGTCAACCGAGTTGAACATAGCGACACATGACAGTAACAATCGCCAAAATGGGTAAATGCGTAGTGAAAGAATGCGATTCAAGGTCACAAAACATTAATAAATCATGCGGAATTACTTTTCACTTGTAAGTTTATGGTTTTTGTATTGATAATATCGTAAATAAGGCTATAATTGAAATAAAACACTGATAATTGTAATTTAGAATCAGTGTTACCATTAAAAAATCATTTTGGTTTTCCCACATTAGTGGGAGAATTAATAATTTATGAAATAATATGCTTTATACTGTTTTTAAACATTTTGCCAATAATAATAAAATGTAGGAAGAACGGTAGTTGTTAGGGCTGGACCGATTACTTTTTTTAGGGACCCGTTGAACGATCACTGCGCGCTTGGCAGAAGTGCCAAGCTCGCAGTGCTGGAGACTTTTGTACAAAAGAATTAATTTATTGTTTTTCTTTATTTATTATCAATTTTAAATAATAATTGTACAAAACAATAATAATTATAATAAAAAATGTTTATCATAAAAATAAAAAAAAGTAAATAAATATAAATAAATTTTTTTTATAAAATATAAATAAAAAATTTTATAAAATATAAATAAAAATAAATAAAAGATAGTTTTTTTTTATTTGTTTTTAAAGTATAATAGAATTTGCAATACACCCTGGGGTTTATTTATTATCAGTACAAGTTGATCATTCACTTTTATTATTAAATGCTATTATTTTTACATACGTAAAAATAAGATTGTATCATGAAAGTAAAATATCCATACAAACTTATAAAAAAGAGTCTAAAAGACAATTGTATACAAAACTGATGCTTCACAGCGCTGTTTGATTTTACACTGAATATAAACCCTTTTAACCAAATATTTCCAGTTATTTTATTATTTATACCTATTCTATTCAATTCGAAATATATTATTTAGAATATTTAAATTAATTTATTTTATTACAAAATTGTTTTAAAAAAAAATTGTTTCTTAGTTGTTATTGGTAAAATTTCATACGGTAGTCAACACTGGCC